TTCAAACTTAATTTTATAAATATGTATGTATATAAATAATATGTAGATGTATGTTTGTTTTTTTTTTTGTTTGTTTGTGCCTTAAAACTGTGAGCTGTTGGCGCAGGAGACATAAAACACACGCATTTAAACAAATACAATCAAACATACATACATACATACATACATTAAGGCATATGTTTATATAAATATATATACACGAACATACACGTATGCATTTATCAAGATAGGAAACCTATAGGTCTGTGGGTATTCAGCCTTCAATTCGCTCATTAAAGTTACGGAGGGCGGTTAATAACTAATGGCAACGTAGACGACAAAAAGCGCGCAACAACAACAAGAGAGTTAACAACTAAATAAAATTTAACAACATACACGCACACACACACACTAATACATAGAATAGAATCATTGCTATATAGTGTTAGCGTGCGCGCTGCTCTCTACTTATTTTATTGATAGATAAGCGGCCAAAGTGCCATCAGAAAATGCATTGTCATAGTGTGGAAGATAGGCGGATAGGTGCAAGTGCGAGGGTGTGTGTGTGTGTGTATGTGTGTAGGTGCATGCACACTCTACTAATAAGAGATTGAAATTTTAATCACAGCCAGCAGTAGCAGCAACAACAACAAAATATGCAAATGCAAACGTAGTCAAAGCGCCAATTTCGCATTAGAAATGATATTTAATTGAAGGGAGAGTGATTGCGTGATATAGAGAGTGATATAGAGAGTGGGTGTGTGCATGTATGTACATATGTACAACAAATATTTCCTTATCACAATCCGCAAGCCACTAACCTAGACCTTTTTGGCTAATTTTGGTATTTTTTGGTAATTTCACAGCAAAGTCTTTATAAAAACAAAATTATTCATTGCATAGAAAGAAACCACCGCTGACCATGGGAGTTTAGATGGCACGACAATGAAGTGCATTGACACCATGAAAGCAAAAAAAAAATAAATTGATACTAAAAATCTTTCTTATGGAGAAATGAAATTTGATGGCCGCTGTCCGAAGCATACTTTGTGTATGGAGAGAACACTTCTCCAGCCTGCAAATGAAACAGCCGGAGGTAGCGAAACCGAAATCCCAAGCGACGATGATGGAAAAAACGTTCCATTGCCCGACTATGAAGAAGTTCGCCGGCTTAAGGAACAACAAAGCGGCTGAAGCCGATCGCTTGCCGGCTGAGCTCTCTAAGAATGACGTCGAAAAGCTTAACAGGTGCTTGCATCAGCGAAAGGCGAAATTACCATGGGATAAGCCTCCTTAATATCGCATATAAGGTCTTATCGAGCGCACTGTGTGAAAGACTGGAACCCACCGTCAACAAACTGATAGGACCTTATCAGTGTGGCTTTAGACCTGGTAAACCAACCATTGTCATTGACAGCGACGAATACCGCGGATGATGAAACAATTAGCTCTGCAAGTTATACGGAGTACCAGGCAGTACCAGTGGGTGGAAGCAGAGGAAGATCTCCACTCCGTTGGATTTAGCGGAATTTGTTACTTCCAATCGGCGCCAAACAGCGAAGAACAATGACGCACACCAATGCAGAAGAAAAAGAAGGACTGACACTCCCACAATATTCTCCAAAAATCGATTAGGGGGAATATTTTTGGTTGCGACAGCAACAACAACCACAAATTGTCACTCAAATTTAACGCAATACGTTTCATGTCTTCCTACACGTTCTTTGCGATAAGATAATTCAAAAAATTAATTTTAGCAAAAAAAAAAAGGGCTCCTCCTCTCACTATCTCGTCTCTAACGTTAGTAGACTATCTATACGTCTATTATGTACACAACGATGGATACGAATTCCCAGTAATTTAGAATTTCTAAGTGATGTAGTATTTCAAGGTTGGATAATCCCCCAGGAAGCTGAACAGCAGATACTTCTTGCAAAACATCCCAGTACTATCATTAACTGTCCTTAAGACACCATAAAAATGGAGAGCATTAACGCACTGTTTCAACCAAAAATGGATATCAAATAAATGCTTCGTCGGATAAGAAAAATTTTAGCACAGAAAATATGACTTAAATTTTATCTAATGGGAAACCGAGGACAAGACCTTTTTTGCCGAACTCAGACGGAACAGAGGTTTGTTAGATGAGTCAGTTTAAGGTAGCATGTAAAGAGGTGGATAGTCTTTGCAAGTGGTCCATTTGCTTTGCACGACGAGGTCGAATCTGGGTATGAAGTATGAGTTAAAACAGCTATAATATCCAAACTATATATATAATTCGTCGCGTCGAGCGGTTTAATATCCTTATGTTGTTGGGGACGGTCATACAATAGCCAAGTATATACAGCGACTCAATTAAGGACTCAAAATTCGTTGTTCTTGTTGTTATGGTTAGTTCGTCAATATCGTCGAGGTCATCTAACCGGAGATCTAGGAAATGAACTGTTTCCATGTAACTAGAGAGGTGTTAGGTTAGTGGGCAAGCGAATAGGTAGTTATCTACGGGTTCGAGGATTAGATGAGTAGGTTTTATGCGACATGCAAAGGGGTGGCAAGTTTCGCACGTTGACATTCTCATAGCAAGCAGGACATACGTTGAATATGCGTTTCTGTTACTATTTTTGTAGTAGTAACCGTAAAAAATATTCCTTAAGCATGCCTTAAGGCCGGTAAATTCTTGAATCCAGGGATTAGGTTCTGTTCTGAGTTGCCCTTTATGCTAAGTACGCCACTACTAATGTACCTCTGAGGTGGTGGCTTTAATTTATAGTAGTCCCAGTTGAACTACTCATACATATGTGCGAGTTCCAGCAACATCCATAGCGCAATAGAGTAGTAGACTACAAATACATTGCTGATAACACTTATCTTTCCATAATCTTAAAAGTCCTCAAAACATTCGCTCTGCTCACACTAGCTGATTTCCATAAACTCTGTTATCAGTTTGGAAACATTCAAGCAATTAATTTACAAAAAATATGCTTGACAATCACACAGTGTTAATGTTCAGTTAGTGACCTTATCAGACCCTCGCTCGCTTATCGCCTGCAACATTTTATGTTATTACTCACACATTATCATGTCTTTGCACACGAGCGTTATTTTGTAGTTCTTATCAATGCTTCGTTGCGTCTCATTACATTCACTGAGTCTTATAAATAGTACATTTTTAATATAAACATTGCCGAGCCGAGTGGTTCACATTGCGTGCTGACATTCGGAAGGCCAGGTTTCAAGTTTTGGTCCTACCAACATTCCAAAATTACAGAAAATCAGTGAAAATAAAAATTAAAATTGCGGTCGCCCCTTTGGCAGGGAATGTCAACCCCTTTGAATGTATTTCTTACATACATGAAATAAAGCTCCTAATCTCCGCATAATAAAACCATCAGCCGCTCGGTGCCGGCTTGGTATAAACTGTATCTTCCTCCATTTGTTGGGAAAACAACAAATTGGAGGAGGAGCTCGGCCGAAAAATTTGCATCAGCGGTTACGAAGCGCCAATTATATATATATATGTAATATAAACATATAAGTATAAGTATTTACATACATATACATATGTACTTATATGTATATATATATATATAATAATATGGAAACTTTTCAGATTTGCCTGATCAACGATAGCATGCAAGGGTGGACCCTAGACTGATTACAATGATCTTTAGATGCTGAATGACGGTAATCGCGTCAACTACGTATTTTTTAATATATGTATGTATATGTTTTTACGTACTTACGTGTATGTAAATTGTGAAAAATAATAATGAAACATTTTACTCTCTAAGCGTTAATTTTATTTTATTTTTATTTATTTTTTTTTTTTTTTTTTTTTTTTTTTTTTTTTTTTTTTTTTATTTTTTTTATTTTTTTTTTGACTCGTCAGTTGCATTATCAGTAAAATTATTTCGTTTAAAGCAGGCGCCAAACATCTTCAGCGCTTTTCCTCGAATAATTTGAAGAAACTGCATCTATATTGTACAGATACAGATACAGATACAGATATACATACATATATATTGTTATATTGTATATTATTATACAAAAGAAAAATCACCCTCGTAATCAGCATCTGTGCCAACAACTGTTTCTTGTTGTCATATGCTTTGCGTCATTTCGAATCATAAATATAGGTAATTTCATATAAATTTATTTTTAACACTGTATTTGTGTACTACTCACATGCAAACTTATTTAAATATATACCCAAAGAGAAAACTAGAAATTTTAAACCAAAAAAAAACAAGGGTTTTTTTTAGAGAGAAACTTCTTCTCCTAATTATCCACATTGGCGACCATTTGGTTGCTTTGAAATGAATTAAACTTCATTCTTACATACATAAGCAACTACAATCATTATATATACGTGTATACATATGTATGTACTATGTTGTTGGATAATTTAATCAACATAATTTTAGTTCTTTAAACCAATATTAATGATAAAATTTATAAAAAATGCAAAAGTCTATAAAAGTATAATCAACATACATGTACATACATATACAAAATGTATTGTAAATAAATTATTTTTATTCATAAAAATATGGTTGCAAATAATAAAGCAATTTTCGTACATTGTAAACATAAAGAAAAAACACAGCACGAGCGGCAGTATTATCAAACAAATCATATGGTAGAAAAGTGGGCGGGGTGCAAAACCGCATTATGGACAGCATACATATAATATATATGTATACAAATGTAGGTACATATTATAATGAAGATTTTAGCAGTTGGGAAAGACAATGTGCGCTCTCTAGGTCACTTGAAGGTCGTTGAACGACAGCTGACAGCCGCTTATGTTCGTACAAATGTATGTACATCAGTATACCTCGTACAATCTTATAGAGATTCTTTTTTTTTCAAACAAATCAACATATAATTTATTGTTGCGGCATAAAATTATAGTAAATTATTCTTGCGTGCCTACTAGATACTGATTCGAACAAAAACAACTGTGATATCAATTATAAAATTTCGAACTTCGTTATTTTTAATGCGATTTCATTACTCACCTTATTTTCATTTGGAATATTCAACATTTTGTACAATATAAACCAATTACTAAAAAACTTTGAGAAATTTTTCGTGAATTGACTGTAAAATCACTTCAAACAATTTTTATTTATTTATTTTTTTTTTCTGATAAGAACTGAACTCAACTTTATTTGTTTTTGTAATTTTTGTGCGGAATTTGTACGGTCAACTGAGTTAAAGACGACCGTCGTATACTTTGTGCAAGCAAACCCAAAGCAAGCAAATCGGCGGCCAAAAATATTTCGACTTCTACTTTAATTCAATTTTGTTTGTATCTTTTATTTTCTTTGTTCACAGCTTTTCAATTATGTTGTTTGTTATTTTGTTTATCAGCTGAGCAGAAACGTGTTCAGTGAAACAATGTGAGGCTTTCAAAGAGAAATGTCAAAGACAAGTTGTCAGATGTGTTCGTGTATTTTTCGAGTCAAGACATTCGTGCCTGCAAAAATTTAAAAACTTAAACATTCGTTTTAGTACAACAATAAGCAAATGCGGCATGCATGTAGCTTAGTGGGATAACCATTAGCTCGTGCTGTGGGCATCCCAAGTTGGAATCGAATTTGAAAAAAAGTGTCTGGAACAAAAGTCTAATGATGAAAACGTGGTGGTTTCCGAAATAGCAGGTCTAACCGTTAAAAAAATGTAATTTTTTCACTATTTCCAAAAAATATATGGTCTGAAACAGTTAGATAAAAACTAAAAACCCAAAAACAATTCAACAGAACAATGACCTGAAAAAGCAATACTTTAATATATTTATATATACAGTTACACACAAAAATGAGTATACACAGGTTTCCGTAAGAGAAATACACAAACTATGCAAAATTTAGTGAATGTATTTGAATTTTTTTGATTCAAATTTGAAGTTTGAACTATTATCGACTATATTTGAAGCTGAATTAATTTATTTATTTAGCATTAAGAAAAACTTAAACAAAAAACTATAATTATTGATAAATTCAGGTCACGAAATTGAATATACACTCACATTTTAAATCTGGATATCTTTCTGTCCGTTAAGTGATCACGTTAGCACTGAACTACATTTCAAAGATTGTGTTGCGTTTTAGCCTTAGATACGCAATTTATAGTTTTTTTGTGCATTTCTTTCACCATGGCTGGTACCAGAAAGGAGACAACTATTGAAATAAGAGAATTAGTGATAAAATTGTCCTGTGAAGGTAAATCGTACAGACAATTTGGTGAAATTATTGGCAGACCTCATTGCACAGTTCAAAAAATTATAAATAGATGGAGTTATGGAGGGACGATACTAAATTCCGGTGGGAGAGGCCGCAAAAAAATTTAGACTGATATTGATGAACGCAATATTGTACGTAAAGTGGAAATAAACCCTAAGATAAATGTTCCTAATTTAACGGTCGAGGTGTCAGTTATGCTTTGGGAGTCTATGGGAGCTAATGGAGTGGTCACCATTCAATTTATTGAAAGCACCATGACCAATGACACTTATTTGAGTATATTGAAGTCTAATTTACGTGCAAGCATGGAAAAAATAAAGCTTCCGTCAGTGTTTTGGTTCTAGCAATATATAGTGAAAAATGGTTATTTTATAACGCTCCAAAACAGCTTAAGACTCCTCCGCAATCCCCCGATATGAACCCCAAAGAACATTTATAGGGAGAACTGAAATCCAAGCTGAAAAAATCTAGTCCCCATACCAAAGAAGAGCTTAAAAAGGAAATAATCAGACTATGGGGCGAAAAATCACCTAATTTTACAAAAAAAACTAGTAATAGATAGTAATAGATGCAACTGGTGGGCCCACATCATATTAAATGAAAAAATAAAAAATAAGTGAATTAAATTGTTATTTTTCATGAAGTGTAACTCAATTTTTTGACCTGAATTTATCAATAATTTTAGTTTTTTGTTGAAGTTTTTCTAAATGCTAAATAAATAAATAAATTTAGATTCAAATATAGTCGATAAGAGTTCAAGTTTCAAATTTTCATCAAAAAAATTCAAATACATTCACTAAATTTTACATAGTTTGTGTATTTCTCTTACGGAAACCTGTGTATACTCATTTTTGTGAGTAACTGTATATATTTTTCAGAAGCCTCAGTAACTGGGTGGTATCATGTGGAGGAATCAGAAAGATTTGTATTTCAACCAAAGATCGCGCTTGTGTGACCTGCATTGGAGCTATTTTCCGTTTCACACTTCATCTTTCGGCTGAGAGGTGCATGGGGTATAGGCAAGGCAATATCCTTCAAATCCAGCGATCTCAACAGAGTAAGGATGATGCTGCTAAAACATTTTGGTACCGCGAAATTAGAATACCTCATAAAAACTCTCAATCTGTACCTGGCAATGCTAGCAATGCTGGAAATGTTGAAACAACAGTACAGTGCTACTATCGAGCATACTCATTAACTTCGGGTTAAAGAGAAAATCCATTAATTACTTGAATGATCGGTAGTCATCCACAGAACTTCGAGATCGGTCTTGCCTATAGTTTAGTTTCTGAATTTCGCAGCTTTAACTTCAAATCACTAACCGGTTGTCTTTTTTTTTACTTAATCACACTGCGTGTGAATTTTATTGCAATGAGATAACAGTTTTGCCATGTAAAAGAACTTCTCACAACCTCGCTTCGAAACCTGAAGATAGGGAGTAGATATCTACTTTAAATTAAAAAAAACGCCATAAGATTGATGTACTACTGAAAAAAAAACATAATTTGCATTTTTCAAAGAAATTTCCATTTGGGTATATAATGATTCTTTAACTAAACATACCTCTCAGTTGTTTATTGTTTATGAAGACCACATCACCCACCCTTGAATCAGCTGATTTCCACGAAAAAGACTAAAACTACGTTCTCTGGTTAAACAATAAATAATTAATATCTCTTTAAAGTATACTTCATAGTCAGCAAAATAAAAATGGGCTCCCTTTGTTCATCGTGCTTCGGAAGCAATGGCGAATCTTCTAATCTGATGCCATCACCGGTAAAATAAAAAAATCATCATATATGAATATATCTCTGATAATTGTGTGCAACAGGAAACACGACGGCGTCAGCAGCTGGAAGCAGCAGAAAGACGACGCGAAGAAAATGAACACAGAGGTATTAAAAATCCAGAGAGCGTCCGAAGACAACAACAACGGGCAGAGGAGCTAGCAAGAAGAGAAGATGAAGCCGCCCGTATGGGTGGCGGTGCTCCAAACTTAAAGGTATTGCAATTAACTTACATGCATGTGTTCATAAGTATATTTTTTTTGTGTAAATCAATTTTTATAGTGGCAAAGCAATTAGGAGGAACGAAGTACAAGAGGTGTGTCAGCTACCACTTTTAAGTGTGAGTCCTATTAAGAATCAAAAATATACAAAGTTCTTTCAGCACCAAAAGTGTTTTAAATGCATACATTTTTAAAAAAAAAAAAACATTGTTAAGAATACATTTATCACTTTAAGCTAATATAATTAAATTAATTAAAGTATCATTAGAACGTCAAGAAAAACAGCTAATTTTGAATCCTATAAATGTATTTTCAGGTTATTGAAAATTTATGCTTTTACACTATAACATTTGTTACATGCGTTCGAAAGTATTATTTATATTCGTTAAAAAAAAACTGGTAAAGAATAACCGGGCACATTCTTTAATGGTTTAAATGTTATAACATCGTATTTTTGCTATTCCTTATTATTTTTATAAAACAATACCAAAAACTAATCGAAGATTTCTAGCAGAGACATATACTGATGGTATCTGCATAGTGTTTTTGTAATTTTATATAAATGTAAGATATTTGTTGTGGAAATAAAAGTACATTATCTAAAAAATTACATGTTTTGAATTGTATCATGAATTCAATGAATTTCTACATATACAAGCGGATCTCTCTGTTCGAACATTTACGAACATGCACTTCTAATTCTAAATACAAATACTAAAGCTCTGTTCGGTGAGAGATGGCAGTAAAAATTAGCGAGTATTGAAATCCTAGGTATTTTGTTTGTGTAAAGTTCGTAATGCCAAAACCTGTTTCTCATGTATTAGGCTTGTGCAATTTGTTGGAAGAAAGAACAAGCATTTATATGATTTGACAACTTCAACTTCTATAAATTCGACTTGGCTTCACCGAATGTGATTAAATAAAAATTGGTAACAATTTCTCTTGTTCATCAGCTCACCGAACATAATTTATTCAAGCACCCACATCTGTACATATGCATTCTTTGCTTAAGCTAAGAACAGCGCTTGTCAAACTATACTTGTGTCATCACATCTCATGTGTCAAATTCTTGAAACGTCGTCAATGTTTTTAGTTTCTGCTCCGATATAACTTCTATTATTTCTGCCAACAAATGAAACTTTTTTGGAATTATGTTTAAATCGTTTGTGTTTTTTGTTGTTATAGTAGCATATAGTGAAGAAATTTATGGTAAACGTCTTATTGTAAAGCGTAAGACCACCACAAAATCTCCAGTGGAAGCATGGACAGGCAAATGGTTCCCCGGTCCACCTCATCCGAAAGATCCGTGGAAGGGCAAATGGTTCCCTTATGAACCTTATACAAGTATGAAAAACCTTGATATGTCACATAAGCAAGACCTCAAGGCTTATGAAATCTGTGATGATGGCAAGGTACATAAATATATATATCTATATATACCTGGAAGCACTACCACTCTTAAAACTTAATACAAAGTAAAATAATGTGAACTTATTTTTATATTATGTGTTTTTTCTCTAATTGCAGCAATATATTGGAGTCGATTACGATCCAAATAATATTCAACAAACGTTCGAACATCTTTGTTTGGCGAATCGTACCTTATACGCCCCAAATATGAATCGTGAAGCATTGCGCATGGAGTATTTTATCCCACCTGCATATGAAGCTCCTATTAAGTGCCTTAATGAAACAATCAGTTATGATACACAATTACCCACATTTGGTGCTTACCGCCCAATAGCACCCAAATATGGCTCATATATATTCCTACCTGCGCAAAGATGGCTTTCCTCACTATCGCAAGGTGCAATTGTAATGCTTTATCATCCATGTGCGTATAGTGGCCAAGTGAAATTATTACAAAATACCCTACGCGCCTGTTTATATCGTCACGTAATAACACCTTGGCTGGGCTTAAGTTCGGAACGACCCCTTGCTCTAGTCGCTTGGGGAAATAGTCTAGAAATGTCAGTAGTTGATGATCATTTAGTAGTGGATTTCATAAAACAAAATGCAAAACAAAGGCCTGACTTAACAACGGGACAACGAAATAAGACAAAAATGTACGAAGCTGGTTTAATACAGGAAGCTCACTTAGTAACAGACGAAAATGATGTAGAGATCTGTGGATATAAGGAAGGAATGTAAAGCATTAAATTAAAGGTGGTGCAATATTTAACTTCTGTAAAAAATTTACATTTCAAGAATCGAATAAGTTTTTTGAATATTTATGTGCCTTATTGGGTTTTTAAAGAAATGTTATTGTTAAATTTCTCATACGTACCTATCTACACATGTATGGTTATATATAAATACCAATTGTTATACAAAATAAAAAGAATCTAAATAAAATTAAGCAAAATAAATTCCATTTATATCTGCGGTAAGGTCATAATTTAGAATAAAATTGTATCTCCTCTGGTAATATCACAAAATGTAAATCTGTGGATTGGGCAACTTTGTTTTTGCTTTTCAGAGGAATGCATGAAATGAAATGACAACAAAAAACAGGTGTTCATACAGCTGAGTGTGTTTTTCTAAAAAACCCGATTACTACTATAGTAGACGTAATGTCAGATTCAATTTATAGATTAAAATAATTTTTTTATTTCGGTAACTATTTACAAATAGCGACTACATAATCAGTTTTGAAATATTTCTCAACAGATGGCAGTAAAAATTAAATAAATTCTAGTTTTTCCAACAAACGCTCATTCACAATACCGAGTTCTTTCTATACGAAAATATTTACGTCACTAACGAAGTATTTCTGAAAAACTTGTCGATTTCGGTTGATAGTAATTTTGCCTGAGTTAATTTTTGCATTTATTTTGTTGCAAAATGTCTTTGACATTCTCGGATATTTGCAACGATCTCAAAACTTTCTTGGAAAGTATTTGTCGAACTTGCAGCAGGATTGATAACGGCGATGGGCAATTACAATTCAAGAGTATATTTGCATCTGCAGACACTACCGAGTCTGTATTTCTCGATGATGTTGGGGAACTTCGTGTAAATAATGAAATAAAAGATGTGTATGATGAGTTGTTGCTGTGGAAACTTAATGTAAGTTTTTTTCAAATTGTTCTGTTTAGCTCTTTACTCCAGAAGTTAAGAGTATATACGCAAGTACTTGAAAATCTGCCATCTTAGAATATTTCAATATTCTCCAAACTGCGTCAAAATATATCAGATGGAAATTTACTGCGCAAAAGCTTGGTGTATAAAGTGTGGTCAATATATCTAGGAAGATATACGACAAAAGATACGGTCAAATACTTAACCTTCGCAAACTACAATCATTGGAAGATAATTCTGATTTATTCCCATATCTTTTTTGTGTTTAGACCTTTTACATCTTTTTTTTTCAGATCAAGCCTAATGATGGATTACCGCAGCAAATTTGTCACGATTGTTTGGAGCGTTTGAATGGCGTCAAAAATTTCCATAACCTTTGCATAGATACACAAACACTTTTACAGTCATATATTAATCATGTTGATACTCTGCTGGAATCTGGAAGTTTGGGGCGCTTATCTCCTCGTAGCGATTCCATAAAGAGCGAACCGCGTAACTCTCCAGGGCCTGTTTTGTTTAATCCTGAAGATTTAGTTGAAGAATCACCAGAAACACCGGAACGCTTTCCTTCAGCACATAACTCACCACCTTTAAGTCCAAAAAGTCAGAACAGTCCGCGTTTTAGCAAAGAGGTGGTATATGCGGAAAGTTCGATGGGCACGCCTCCACCATTATTTGACGAAATGAATACTGAACCAATTGACATGGAAACTTTGGAGTATTTGAAAGCGGAATCTGATCCTGATATGAAAATTAATTCAGCTTTGCAGACTGCACAAAGTAATGATATTTTGCATCCATTAAATTTTATCAGTAGCAGTGAAGACGAAGACTCTGACGAAGGTACACTCACCGATGCTGAGACAGATACCATGTCCTACGATACTAATTATGTACAGCGTGCAAATTGGCAATGCAAAATTTGTCACGCCATATTCGCCAAACGTTCTCTACTAAAGGAGCATCGCTTACGCATGCATCCACAAGAAAAGCCATTTATTTGCAATATTTGCTCCAAAGGCTTCAAATCGAAATTTACGCTATCGCAGCACAAACATAAACATAGTCGGCTCGACTCCATAAAGTGTGAAAAATGTGGCAAGTATTTTCGTAGTCAACTGCATCTACAGCGACACAACAAGAACTTTCATCTTACATCCACTTACACCTGTCACATTTGTAATGCAAAGTTTGAAAATTATACGCAAATGCGTTTCCAGTACCATGTGCGACAGCATGGCGAAAAACGTTTTCAATGCCAATTTTGTGAAAAGTCATTCCATCAGAAAATTCATCAACTCAACCATGAGCGTACACACACCAAGGAGCAACCTTTCTGCTGTGAAATCTGCGGCAAGAGTAAGCTGATGGACTTATAAATAGTCAATATTCACTTCGTTCATTAAAATATGCTGCTACGTATATTCATTTCAGGTTATCGGCAGCAGACAGCTTGTAGAGAACACATGTTGACGCACCAGGATCCGACACCTTTTAAGTGTTCCATATGTCAAAAAGGTTAGTCACTAAAGCTTTTTTTTGCATTGTTACTGAAAAAGTGTCTGATCGGTCATTTTGATATTTAGGATTTACTCAACGCTCTAGTTTACGTATGCATTTACGTGGTCACAGCGGTAAACATAATAATCAAACGATATTCCATTGCGATTTGTGTGGTCAAAATTTTACCAAGGAAACACACTTTGAGTGGCATCAATTGAATCATAAGCAATATTGTAAAGAAACTCCAAAGTCGTTTGCTTCGGAAAGCCAGGCTTCCCAATTAAATGCAAATGGCTTAGGTATTTTACTTCGAACCCCTATGAATCGAATGTTTTAATTTATATTTTAATAACGTACCCTCAGTGTTTTACTGTAAATTTTGTGATGAATCGTTTCAAAAACAACAACTTCTTTTGCTTCATGAACGTCAGTATCATGGTAAAATCGCTGATGGGGATGGGATTTTAGAGAGCGGGCATCCCTATCATTCTCATTTTAGTGAGTATTACATTTTTTGTTTTTAGTTCATTAAAGACTATTGTAAAATACCTATTTTTTTTAGATCGTGCACTACCACATCGGACCGAGGGCAACATTGACAGAGATATACTAGCTCTATTTACGACATAAACGTATTAATATCCATTTCCATTATTTGTATTGATATCTCTTATAAATATAATAATAAAACTTATTATCGTACTCCTACAGTAATTGAATTTATGCATTGTAGCAGGTTAAACTCCTACTTATCCAGGCTAGACCCCAGCATACCCAACGTATGCCCTGCTTGTGGAGAGTCTCCGCGCTAATTACCTCTTCACATGCCCTCTCAAACCAACTCGTCTAACCCCCCTCTCCATTTGGTCCAACCCCGTTGAAACAACTCGTTTCCTGGATTTACCATTAGATGTCCTCGGCGACTTAGACTGATCAAACCCGTGCCTAATCGGGGTGAACCGCTACAACAACAACAACAACATGCATGTACCATCGCTTAGAAGACTGGTAGAGTATTTGTATTAATTACTTTGAGCGTGGCGTCTGTCTGACTGTCAATGTGTACTTTAGAATTTTCCAGACGACTACTTATCATTACTAGATAATTTTGTTATAATCTCAAACGGGATATCAAAAGTTGTATAACTGAAGTGTAGATTGAGCTTCAAACTTAATGCTTTATGGAAAGTTTAACTTTTGTTGAGTCGAATCATCTGGCATCACGTCCATGCTTCTTCTTGCCTTTGACTTTCGATGTTCGATAAGTGATTTCTACAAAAGATTTCTTAAGCAGCGTTTAATTTAGTTTTTCTTTTACAAGCGACTGGTTCGAATTCACTTAATTAACTTCACAATACCAGCACCCGTCATTTGTGGTCGTGTCCATTGTGTTGTTCTTCCTTTCGGTGTTTTTGAAAAGTTTTCTTGCGATTTTCCAATTTATTTCCACTATTCGTTGGTAAACTGTCAGCCAGCCGCATAAAACAACAGCAAAGTGTCTTACGTATCACAGCAAAAGAACTTTGCAAAAAAAAAAGCATTACAGCTGTGAGGGAAGTAAAGTGCATCGAAACGAACGGAAACAAGAATCCAATAAAAATAGAGAAAAAAAAATTATTCTCATTTTAAAATTGCATCACGTGAGCATTACGTGAACGTGAAAATCTAATAAGAAGAACTACAAAACACCACAACAAAGTTCATAGTTTAAAAAGAGAAGTACCATACCCTCAACGCTGCTCCATCCAACTACCCCAACGTAAACTTTTCCTAATTCAATTTGTGAATTAAATTCACAATACTACCAATTTAAGGTTTAACGCGACTACAACAACGTCTCAGCACGAAATGAACAACCTGCCCGACACTCCTGTACCCGATCCAGGATCTAGTGGAGACAAACAAGCTGAACCAGTCACCACAACAGCGCCCAATAAGTCAAGTGCTCTGAAAAAGACAAGCCGTTATCGCAGTCGTTCATTATCTGCCTCATCGACAGATTCATTTAGTTCAGCCTCATACACTGGCAGCAGCTCGGATGATGGGGACGATGTACCACCACGCGAAAAGGTTCAAAAAAACACAAAAGGCAATTCCGATTTTTGTGTGCGTAATATTGCCGGTCAACATGCGTTTGGCCGGCGTGAAATCGAAATAGCCGAACAAGAGATGCCGGGTATTATGGCACTTCGAAAACGCGCTGCCGACGATAAGCCGCTAAAAGATGCAAAAATTGTGGGTTGTACGCATATAAATGCGCAAACAGCAGTTCTCATTGAAACACTAGTAGAGTTGGGCGCATCAGTGCGTTGGGCAGCATGCAACATATATTCCACACAGGTGCGTAGTCTTAGAAAATTACAAAAGGTTTCGAGATATTAGCAAAAGTTGTTATCATATGGTGAAAGTACTTGAACTTGGTTGAAAATATAAATTTTATCGAAGGTAAATAAGTAGTATATTTTAGTTGGTTAAGCAAACTTTAATATTGAATGGAAAATCGGATGAAATGTTGGACAATATTATCGGTGAAAAGGGTTTGGGAGCTTTAATTTATATATATATGTATGTATATGCAAATATTTTAAGTAAAAGAATTGTATAATTGCAATTGCAAATTAGAAATGGACTCATGACCGCACATTAGACTAACTGCTGTCTATAAGTACTTAAAATGTTTACATTCACTTTATTTAGGCCAAGACTATCTATCGATAGTGTACATGATATTTAGATAAAGCTAGGCATGTAAGTTTGTATGTACTAAATGGGAACCCATGCAATCGTAACTCATTTTCCTTTCAACTAAAATGCCGCCTGGAAATAAATAAATATGCATAGACGTAAATTTTTATGTGTATTTATATAGGTATATGTATATTTATACCGTTAGTGTATGTATGTACGTATGTATGTATATTAAAAATTAAAATAACACTCATGTGACTTGGCCCAAAATATCTATATAACAAACATATACATACATACATATATACAGTTAAACCCCTACCCGCCAACACCTTATCACCCAGTCATATTCATTTCTCATATGCCCTTCCCACAATGACAACAGGCGCAATAGAAGATATTGGGTGTTTACTTAATAAAAGATCATAAACGATTTATAATTGAGAATATTCCACTATACATACATACACACACACATATATACACTTAGAAGGGGGAAAAAGACGATATGCAATATAAGTTTATGTATGTATATATATATATATGTATGTATGTATGTCTGTGTGTAGATATTTGCCTTGTGCTAGCGTTGAATTCAATTATCTGATATAGTGAAATGTAATATTCAAAGTAGATCGTAAAACTCCATCCGAAACAAAAAATCACTTGCATAGGCAAATGACGTAAGTTAAATAATAATTTGAAAATATGAAGAGGATTGAGTGTGTTTAATTGCATTTATGCATGCATGTTCGTATATTACATATAATATATGTAAATATGTATGTGTGTTTGTATGTTTGTATGTTAGATCTATAAAAGCACTCAGTTGACGTAACTCAGTGTACTATTTCTAATTTAGATACGTTCAGTTTCACTGACGAACGAAGTGAAAAGAAAAGTCCCATGCAAAATAGTTTGTAAAAACCAAAAACTATTCATTTTTCTCTAGACTTTTATTTAATGTTACAAAAAAAATAAGCCTAAAAGAATTACCTGTCAACCAAGTTATGGTTATATATGTATGTACATACATACATAATACATACTTTTAGATAAAAATAGTAACAAAACCCGATCACTTAAGGCGACTATTTTAATTAAAAATAAAAATAAATAAATATAAAAAAGAAAAATATTATTCGCTATAACATTTTTTGTATATATGTACACACAAACATACATAGTCAGATAAGTGCATGTATGAGCGTATGTATGTATGTAAAACTACTAATTTTGGCTGTCAAGTGCGCTAATAAACAGTTACTAAATACTTGATAACACCTCAGTTCTGCCGAAAGAATGTTATATGTATATACATATGTATGTATATATCTTTATTTAGTTATATGGAAAGCAAACGCATATATCAACATATACATACGTACATATTTATAGAAAAGTTTTAAAAACAAATATTAGCATTTGTCGGTTGTACTTAAAGTAAAAAACTATACATCACTTTTTTGTGTCTAATGTTATCGGAGAGTAAATAAAAAAAATTTTAATATTTAGCGATAAAGCCATAGATAAAAATTGACAGTTATTATTTATGAAGTGTTAACGCTTAATTTTTTGTCTCGCTTTCGTTTTATTTTTTTGATTTTTTTTTTTCATTTAAATTATTCATCAATAAATATACAGAAGCTATAGATGAATTTATCGGTTCGAATGCATATCTGAAAACTTGTTTTCCAAAATACTTACAAATACATGCATACATATGTATATACATGGTTATCCATTTTGTGGTTTCGAAAATAAAAATAATTTAAAATATTTTTTCTTCGTAAAACTTCTTTTTTTTATTATAAATTTTGATCTTTGGCATTATATTGTACATATGTGACAAGTCACAACATTGAAATGACCGCCTCGACAGTTTTTGCAAGCTGCGATCCGCCAGAGGTAATTTTAGATCACTTTTTGGCATATATTGGACGATGTCGCAGTCTTAACTTGAAAATGTTGGGTTTCAGGTGTTCAAGAGTTTAGGGTTTATCCCCATGTAGACGATCTTTCCACGGCGTCAAATAGGACGTTCTCGGTGGCTAATTGACTTCGCCAATATGAGAGAAATTTCTCTCAAAAATTGGGTACACCAATTGCTGGGGGGAAAAAAATTTCCCAATTTACATGTCTCCGAGTGAAAAATGTGCCTCGTCGTTGTTGAAAATTTTTTTCAAAAAATCGCTTGTGGTTCAAGCTCTCAATGGGCGTACGTACCGCGTTGTGAATGGTCAACTCGGTTCAAAGCGCAGAATACGCCATAAAATGCCGTAAGAAAGTTTCCGGCTCTGGAAATTTTTTTTTTTTGACAGATGTCAAAATTAAGCACCACGAAATTGATAACCCTATACAACCGATTTTTTTGTTGCACAACCAATTAATAGCCTCTAAACTGGCTGAATGTAGCATGTTCCTGTTATAAAAAATGCTTCAAAAATGTCTCTTTATTATATAATATTAAAAAGAGAATAAAAATTGTGTTCTCTCCGCGTTATTGTTTAATTATTTAAAGCTCCCACTGGGTCCCAATGCGACACTAAACACTTCTTTGCATGCCCTTGAAAATCCACTCATCGAAGATCCCTTTCTTTCTATTCCGAACACTCCGAAACTCTGCCTGTTCATAGGTGGGATGGACCATGGCGATACAACAACAAAAACGAGAAAGTAGAACAAATTCAACAGCTGAATTCTTTTGGAATAAAACCATCCATTGTGGTTTTCGTTAGAAACAATAATGGAAACTCACACCTACCTTCGCAAATATATATGGCTCTTCACGCGTTTCTGCTAAATAATGGTTTAAATTATCCAAAACCGAGTTTTAGCACTTACGATCTTCGGACAATAGACACGCACAAAGGTGCAAATTGAATTCGTTAGCGATTAATAACACATCACTTAGCGAGCATTTTTTGCTAGACCAATTTATGATATTCGAATTGAACCAAATTTTTCAATATATGTGCTAATTGACTTTGTTTCTTTTATTTTTTTTTCTTTTCACCCACCAAAACCAGAACGAAGTAGCAGCTGCATTGGCCGAGGCGGATATACCTATCTTCGCATGGCGCGGTGAAACGGAAGAGGATTTCTGGTGGTGCATCGATCGTTGTGTAAATGCGGAAAGCTGGCAGCCGAACATGATATTGGATGATGGCGGTGATGCGACACATTTGATGCTGAAGAAATATCCCACAATGTTTAAGCTCGTTAAGGGCATCGTGGAAGAGAGTGTCACCGGTGTGCATCGTCTGTATCAATTGTCGAAGGCCGGCAAGCTTACTGTGCCCGCTATGAATGTCAATGATTCGGTGACAAAAACTAAATTCGATAACCTCTACAGCTGCAAAGAGTCCATACTGGATAGCTTGAAACGTTCAACGGATGTTATGTTCGGCGGCAAACAGGTGGTCGTCTGCGGCTATGGTGATGTCGGCAAAGGTTGTGCACAAGCGTTGAAGGGTCAAGGTTGCATTGTTTATATAACTGAAATTGATCCGATTTGTGCATTACAAGCGAGCATGGATGGCTTCCGTGTGGTGAAATTGAACGAGGTGATACGCAATGTCGATATTGTTGTGACGGCGACAGGCAACAAGAATGTTGTTGTACGCGAGCATATGGATAAAATGAAGAGTGGTTGTATAGTATGCAACATGGGACACTCGAATACCGAAATCGATGTAAATGGTTTGCGCACACCCGACCTGACATGGGAGAAGGTACGCTCACAGGTCGATCACATTATATGGCCAGAGGGCAAGTATATTATATTATTAGCCGAGGGTCGTCTCGTCAATTTATCATGCTCCAGCATACCATCTTTCGCCGTGTCAATTACTTCGGCCACCCAAGCACTCGCACTCATCGAACTATTTAATGCGCCACCCGGACGCTACAAGTCTGATGTTTACTTGTTGCCAAAGAAAATGGACGAGTATGTAGCCAGCTTACATTTGCCAACATTCGATGCACATCTAACCGAATTGTCCGATGAGCAGGCCAAGTATATGGGTCTCAACAAAGCCGGTCCATTCAAGCCCAATTACTATAGATATTAGAGGCCAGTGCGATGTGCGGGAGGGGGTGCTAAGAGAATGAAAGTGGAGTGTAAAGAGCGCTGTGCAATTTGTCGATACCAAACACGTATGTTATCGTCTCCGAGAACAAAATAAAGTAAAAACAAAAACAAAAATAAATTGAGAGCGCGCGCAAACTGCCAACGAAAGTATTCTAATTTGAAGCGTTTCAGCAGGGTTTAAAGTTAATGCTGAAGCTGAGCTTATACACTATAATTGGTTAAGAAGATTGATTAAGTAATTGTAACGGAACAAAAAAGAAATATCGAAGCACTTATTACAACAATAACACATACAAAAACAATAAATAAACAAAAGCTGCTTGCACACAGCAATGAAACAATAATTTTTTCAATAATAAATAAGTGCAGCAAACATACACATACACGCATACACTTTTCCCATTTGCAAGGCTTTAGTAGAAAAATTCCAAACAAAATCCATTGTATTAAAAAAAAAAATTGTTTAAAATTTAATTTTAGTTTATAGTTAAACTTTGTATTCACATGGAAGCAAAGTACTTGCCTCTATGAATGAAAATAAGTAACGAAGCCTATCATATGTATTAGTATACTATATAGCATTAACTCACCACCACTTTACAATGACAATGAGCTTCATGACAAAAACGCAAATAAACTAATTAAAAAAATTAGAACAAAAAAAAAATGGAAAAAAATACTAACAAATAGAAAGTGAATAAGCTAAGAAGTGCTAGCGAAACACGAAAACAAAACGAACATTTAGTACACATTTCTGCCGTGTTGAATTTAAATTTAAGACTACTAACATACATACATAAATAATTACAGTGATGGGGGGAAAACTCATTTCAAGTATTCTGTGTGCATTTTGGGTAATTCACTCTTGCAATTACATATAGCTTATTTTTGTTTTTAATATTTGTAGGTTCTATTTTTGAAATATGACCTTATTGCTTTGGTTTTTTTTTTTATGTTAAGAATTTTATGCATTCTCTTATTTAAAATAAAAAAATTAAGCTTCCCAGCTCTTGTTGCTAACCACCATTTGTTATAAATTTCCATATACGTATACATATATTTCTTTTGCATTTAGCACAAGCTTACCGTAAATTTTGCTCTATTAAATTATGACGCTTTTAGTAAAAATATATATTCCATTTTTTCGTTTAAACTAATGTACTTATACAAAATACATATATTTATTGCACATACAAAAGTATTTAAAATGCGTCTTAGTATAGCTGAGTCAACAAGGTTTACATATGCGCTGTAATAATGTATTATAATGAGCAAAAAAGTAATAATGTTTGTAAAAATGAAGCAACGTTTAATAAAAAAATAAAATCGAAAAAAAATTGTTGTGTTTTCTTAATGGTATAAATATATTAAAATTAAATTAAGAAACTAATTTGTTACATTTTATTATTATTCAAAAAGTTCTCACTATTGCAACGAATTCAGATTGCGCTGTAGCAAAATGACCAACAAAGCAAGCTCACGCAACTCAGTTTTAAATGATCCCATGTTCACTATACTTTAACGAAATTTTTGTCAAATTATTAGACTTACTAATGGTGGCTCTTCCTTTGCAGATAGAGAATTTGGTATGATCTACTCTAGGATCAAAATGGTCTACAGTGGAAAGGTTCGCTAAATTGCTGGGGATTCAAAGCTTGTGGCATCGGGGAACTTGCATTTATAAAACGTTATTTTCAACATTGAAGATACCGATTTACAATTGTTACTTTTTTACAACTATTACCTGCCAAAAAAGGCTATTCCTGTTTGTCTTTTTCGCTATAATTCCATTATTAGAACCTTTCGTGTAATCCTTTCTCAAAACACGTTGTCTGAAATTTAATATGGAAATTATAAAATACATGCTGGTATTTACATAGTAAATAGCAAAAAAAACTCAATTTTATCCGATCAAAAACGTCTTTCTTTATTTCAAATTCAATTGGTTTATAAATCCAAAGTTTATTACTATTGCAAAAATTAAAACGTATTCAAATATTCAAGATTGTTACGTTTATACATACATATACATATTTATTGAGTGGCTTACTCAGTTAACGTTTTATTAACGTACATTACGTGGACGATTCCACCATGCACCTACTCGTATTTACTAAACAAAATATGAATATTTTCGAACGAATCTTCTAAAATTCAAATTATTCATAGTTATTGTGGCGTACAAATATTACTAATATTATTATTGTTTTTTTTTTTTGTTTTTCTAATATAAATTTTCAATTTAACTTTGTTGTCATGCATTCTAGCGCGGCACGCATGTTTTACAATCAATGAAGACGTACAAACATTAACTTAATAATTAGTGAAAATGCATTCGACTAATGAAGTCAGTCGATATACATATATAAAAATCAATATCAGCAAAATAGCAAAACAAAAGTTATAAAAGTTCTTAAATATTATAAACTTGCATAGTATATTCCATACAATTTTAAAGAGTGAATTGTTTGTTAATTTTTAAGTAAATAAAATATATATCTATATATTATATTTATAGTCATTCCTATACAGCGATAACTAGGAATTCATTTGTTGGTCTTCATTATTTTCGCTCACTCCTTTGTAGTTGTTGTCGTACGTTGCTTAGTCGAGAAAATGTGGTTTCAAATGCTTCAACATGCCGAAAGTACGGAAGCGCTTCACCTTCATAACTTTCATTAGTTCATCATCGCAAATGGCAAATTGTTTATTTTTAGGATCATATAAGTTACGTTCTTTTATGATGGCCCATACTTTCTTCACCACTTCGTGACGTGGTAACGCTTCTGCACCCAATAGGGCTGATAGTTCCGGCGATAGGTTGTATGGGCGCGTGAAACCAGTTGATTTACGACCAGTACCGCCGCCGCCACCACCAGCTCCGCCGCTCGCCTTCTTCTTGGGACCCTTCTTTTTGGGCATTTCATAGTCCGAGTCTGAGCCAGCATCCGACTCAGAACCCGAATCGGAATCATTTATAGACTTTCGCTTCTTCTTTTGTTTAGATGCTGCTGCCTTACGTGGAGTAGGTTGTGGACGCTTTTTAGCCGATTTCTTTTCAACTTCTTCCTCTTCTTCATCTTCGGATGATGCCTTTTCTTCTTCCTCTGAAGATTGTTCATCGTCTTCCTGTTGCTGATTTATAAAATCCATAACAAGAAAATCGAATTCCTTTTTACGGCTTAACAGTGAACAGTTCAGTTTCTTCTCCACTTGCTCACGCACTTTCTTTACCGACACGACCGAAAGATCTGCAGTCTTCAGTATGGCATTAATTTCAGTCTTCAAATCTTCCGTTGAAATATCAGCCATTTTCTTCACTGTTTCTTGTAGCTTCAAATAACAAAAAAATTTTATTTATTTATTTAAAATGTTTAATAATTTACTTTATAGTAATAGCGGTTTAATTTTCAATGAAACGTGAAGTAGAGAATGTGAACTGTAAAAAGCAACGAGAGAAAAAGTCGGCGTCTCAACGATAAATGTTCATCGATTTTGATCAAAAATCACCGGGGTAGAAAAATGCATTAAGGCGTATTCATACACATTGAATTAAACATCGCTTGTTATTTATTTCAAACTATGATTTCAAAACGATAAATCACGTAAGGTACATAGGTTGCAAATACATTCTACAATTGAACTACCATTACCATGGGTTCGTATTAAATTGATATTTGTAAATTCAACCATTATTATTTCCTAAACATTTTGGGTTGGATCACATTAACATTAACAGGCCTATTCTCACTGTTACCGGTAAAGTGAATTTTGTTACTTTTCTTTAACATCCGAAATTGAATTTGGTATTCTGGCGAGCTGGTTACAAAGTTTGAAAAAAATTTGGCAGCACTGCCTTTTTCGTGCAAGTCAAATTACATTTGATAAAGTAAAAAGAAAAATATTCACATTGGAGTTGAAGACGGTGCACAAAAAAATCAAAAAGTTTTATTAATTTATTCATTATATCATAAAAATTTGAAGCCACTTATGGAAAATATGCCTGGACAACAAAAAAAGCTGAATGAAAACGTTATCTTACAAATTAAAGGGCTATTTTTTGTTTCAAAACTTCTTAAAATACGGCTTTCGCACTTTTTTCTTCTTCTTCAAAGAATTCCAGGCTTAAAATATGCCTACCCATTTTGGTTTTTATTTTTTCTGAAACTAACAACACAAAATCAAACAGCAAATATTAATGTTACCTCCTATTTCCCTGGTAACAAATTTACAGGGTAACAGTGAGCTTAGAATACGAAATGGTAACAAAATTTACTGAATGGTAAATTTTAATACTTAGGTAAATTTTGTTACCTGGACAGAAAGGGCCTGTAAAGTTCTTTACCAATGTTATTGATAATGAACATACTATTCTCAAGCTCTAGAGCATTCGTAGTTTTGGTGACACTTCTAATTTGCTACAAAAAGTAAAAAAGCCAAAGCTACGAAACAATGATAAAAAATTCATTTCACACAAAGTTCAAAATAATATAGGAAAAAAAATTTCGATGGCAGATATCATAATTTTTTCTAAACCGCCTCCCAGCGGCCGATGGATTTTCATGGGTAGCTTTTTATTTTAAGTGGAAAAATTACTTTTCTACAATTTATTTATCATTCTGCCAGCAAAGTTTCTGTTTAAATGGTGTAACTTTTATTTATAAAAATTTATTTTAATGACATAATTTTGAATTGGGAAAATTTAAAACTTTAAAATTTCCGGTGGAATCGACTTTTGCTCTAAAAATTCTCTATCCACTAAAATCCATTCATTTTGAGTTTTGTTTTGTTTTCTCCAATTTCTTTTCCCAAGACAAAATGTCAAAAGACAATTGCTGCGAATAGCCGCACAAAGTAAAGTGTCAATAAAGCAAAATTGAATGAATGTTGAAAACGAAATAAGCAATTAAAATAAATTTTTTGTGACGTCTGTGTTTAATTTTGCTAAAATCTCATGAAAACTATTGGATAAAAATGTCAAAACAATTGAAATACATCGAAAAAGTGATTAATTTTCGTGTATTACTTGAATGTAAGGCTATCAAGGTGTGAGGGTGATATAAACATAACCGGGCTCCTATTGGGCTATAGCCCCAGATTCAGATTCTGCGAACAGAATAAAGTGCCCATTGAATTTGTGCAATTAGTGAAGGGGTGCTGCAAATTTCTGTAGCTACCATAAGCTCAAATTATTCCGGTTTATAGCCGTGAAAACTAGAATATTTACAGGTAAGTGATAAGGTACTGAGAAACTCTTACGATCTTAATATGATCGGCAGACAACATCTGCAATAAAAGTGGCTAGTAAATACTTACAAAAACTCATACCCAAGCAAACATGTTTTATACATGTACATAGTGCTGTCTAAGTATATTTAGCTGCCCTGCTATTAAAAGACCCCCACAATAGAAGAGTAGATTAGTCAGCTGGCGTGAGCAATTGCACAAATGCAGTACTTAAAATCAGCGAATGTAGCAATGGCGTGCTACTGCACTGCATTTTGGTAATCGCTAATTTATTTTTAACTTACAGATAAATTTTGGCCTAAATATTAAAAGCTTACAAGTTAAACTTCGCGTAACTCAATTTGTGCAAAGCATTTCATTGCTTATAGTCTGTGAAGTTGCTCCAGCCGGCAAATATCCTGCTTACACATTCAAATGGTAATGCACATACATATGTGTATATTTCTTTGTTTGCCGGTAGTATGACGCCCTAAATATGAAGTTCCTCTTAGTTATTTACTTACATATATGATCATTTGTTAATTTATTTTGTTGTCATTTCTCTTTTAATCATACTGTTCGTCGTTTATAAGTAGTACGCCTGTCGATGGAGTATTTTGTATTTGTGCCTATATACTTTCACGCGCATATATATATATTTATATATATACCTCTTGTTTGATTTTCTACCAACCGGCCTTTTGTCTGTGCATGCATTACGTGTGGATATCCCGGCTTTGCTGCCGAAGTCGCTACTTTGACATTTTTACAATGGTATAGGATTCAAAACATACTCAAATGTGATGGCAGCACAAAGAAACGCAAACTCAACGACACATATTCAACTTTCAAGACGGTCAGTAAATCTTCAATATTGGACAATACTGGAAGTATACTTATATCATGTCGTTGTTGTTACCTCTAAAAAAGCGTATGTGTTCCAGGCATCTACTTAAACACTGTGCACATATTCTTGGGTAGGCCAAGCGAAGTTTTGTGCGAGTGTGTGTGTGTGTCAAATTCGATCGAGATTATATAGCATTTCTAAGTGAACTCCTAAGTTGTCTGTATGATCTCAGGCTCGGATACCTATGAGCACTGAGTAAAGTCTTGTAAGAGTAATTACAAAAAAAAAAAAAGAAAAAAAAATGAAAAATTTTCTACTTTCTAATTTGAAACCAAATCAAAAAATTATGTTAATAAATTATAAATACATTATGTACATATGTAGTTCTACGTACCTGCAAATACAAATATATATATGTATACATGTTTACATAAAATTTAAATATTTGTTTTAAACAACAAAACCGTCATCCCACGCAACATTGTCGGACACCTTCTAATTGATTCACAACTTTGTATTGCCCTTTCGTCATAGCCTCTCTCCGTCTCTGTCTCTCTCTCCTTTATTTATCTCTCTCTTGAATCTTTATTTTATCGAGTGTTACGTCATACGTCATTAAAAGAATAAAAATCTAAAATCTAAAAATATTTACAATAAAATGTTTTGAAAACTGGAAAATTTTTGTCGAAAAATTATATAAAAAAATAACTAAAAATACGAGAAAAGAAGATTCTAATTGATTCACATAGGCAAGCGATCGTGTACAGCGTCTTTGGCTGAAATTTCAACGCGAAGAGAGTGAAATTTCACCCACGCAAAAATGAGCCAAGACACAAACAGAGGAGAAAAAAAAAAAACAAACAAATATTTAAAAAAAAAATAAAAAAAAAAATTAATGAAGAAAAATGTAAGAAAAAAATTTAGTGAAATGAAATTATGTGCATTTGATTTTGTACCAAATTTTATTATTTTCATGTGTGAAATTTTTTTTGCTCATTAAATCGAAAAACGACACAATTAAAAAATCTCAAATTTTTGGGAGAATCCAAAAACAGTTGACACTGTTCAAGCAAAACGGAAAAAAAGATTTTGAAAAATTTTGAGTTGTGTCGTTTTTCGATTTAGTTCGCCATTTGTGTGTACATAAATACATACGTACATTTTATGCATGCAGAATTTGTGTGAGCATGCAACTGAAAGCTTTTTCGCAGTAAAAGCTGTTGTTAGGTTTGAGTTCTTGCGGGAAATTAAGCAGAATTGAAAACCTGGGACTCATGCGACGTTTTAAGAAACTTCTGTAACATCAGAATCCAGCTCATTGTAAATGATTTTGAATGTCACACTTGACTCGCTTTTAACCCACTATTGTTGTAAATTTTTCTTTGCAGTCGATAGCAGCGTTGTCAACAGAGCTTTTTTTTATGAACAAATCTAGCTTATTTTTTAAATTTCTAGGTACATTTTTTGATACTTAAATAATTTCTTCTTGTATTATTTTTTGGTTAATTTAACAGCGGCATTCACTGATTCACAAATTGACCGATACAATTTTTTGCAATTCAGTAACGAGAGTATCAAAAAATTCGTCTGAAAAGTGAAGTGAAAATTGAATTGATCAGCTGATAACGACCTTTGCTGGAGATTTGCACAAGCGCTTAACAAAAATTAGCTTATCGATTACGCTCGATAAATTTTCTTAAAAGGCACACCTAGTGTAATGGCCTAAAAAACGGTTATTTTTTGGAAATTTTTATTAAACAAAAATACTTCATCAATTATTTCAAAATTTTAAGAATATATTTATACATGTTTCAAGAATATACAGTGAAATTTTTAAAGAAAAAAATCAAATATTTTTTAAGTTATAGTCCATCTCCAGCGGCGCGAAGAAAAGGCCCTCCACTGCTGCAGTGACTCCGACCTTCTCCGTGGATGAAATCTAAAAAAAAAATTCTCGATAAGAAAATATTGTCTGTACATATATATATATATACAAAAAAAAACAAAAATTGACAATATGGCGGCGTTTAAAAAAAAAAATTGTAAAATTTTAGCAGAAATTTTGGTCGTTTTTGGCCTGCCAAAATTCGATTTTTTGATCGGATCAAAAATCGATAGGTCATTGCACGGAGAACTATGTATAAAACATATAAAAAAAATCGATAGAGATCGGATCATTTGTGTTTGAGTAATCACTGCAGCAAATTCGGAAAATGCTGTTTCGAGAAAAACGCATTTAAAGATAAAATTTTCGTTTTCACTCGTAGCTAATGAGACTCTCTAGCTGCCGAGCGGTTGCTCTTTAAATTGCTATAACTCAAAAACTCTTTGAGATATCGATTTGAAATTTTAATATGTTATGTTTAAAG